TTTTTTCCTTGAGTGAGAACTTTTTGAATGAGATTTAATGCTTTTGCCCATTTGTTTTGTTGGCTGTTCACAGTATTCTCACAGTATTCTTCAACCTGAAAATTAAAATATGGCAATACTATTCCAATCTTCTTTCTTCTAAGCTCAATTTTGCTTCTATAGATGCCACAGGGAATACCACTGCTTTCACAATTCTGATTATGATTTTGACTGTCTGCTCTTCCCCAGTGCTCATTTGTGACTGATTCCTTGACTGCTTATTTCTTTATTGTTGATAGTTGATCTTAAAAAGCAGAAGGTATCCCCCATTTTGATATCTTCATTACTAATTATATGGCTTGTTGTTCTACCTGTTGCCATTTTATTTAATTTTAGTCCTATTTTTCACTTGCTCCTTAACTTTTATTAGTAGAATTTGCAGAATTTTTATCTAGTGAAGTAGTGTCATAAGCATAGTACAGGTTGTTGATATGTCTTCTTTCAGTATTAAAATCATGCTCATCTTACAATTTAGGTTCCTTTAGTATATGTTCACCATATACTATAACAACTGAGGGAAGAGTATGCAGATTTATCACACACCTTTGGTAACCTGAGCAAATCTGTTTCATCATGTTCTGTCCAAAATGTGGTTTCCTGATCTGTATATAAGTTTTCTATGAAGATAATGAGATGTTCTGGGATTTTCATTTTTCTGAGCACATTCCATCGCTTCTTGTTTTTTCTAAGACCACTCTGAAACTATTAAGCCCCATTTTTTCTTGGCTTTGGCTTACCTTCTTGGTGATTTCATGGTTCTGATACCCAATGTGCTTTCTTTTCTTTCTTCATTTACGGCAGAGTCTTGTGTTATTTTTAAGGCTCTTAATAACTTTTAAGTCTTGCTTAGTCGGTTAATAACATTTAAAGTTAAATCCATAACTGCTGTTCTCTATCAATGAAGTTCAAGGTTTCAAAAGAATTCCTGAAGTTCTCTTTGAAAAATGGTAAGTATATGTTCAAGATTATATAGTAGAAACTGTCTGGCTTTCTTCTTTAACTTAACTTGGAACTTACACATGAGAAGTTCATTATCTGTTCCAGAGTCAGTACCAACCATATCTTTGATGCTATAATTCAGCTGTCTCCAAGCAGTGGGCTGTGGCCGTGACCCACTGGTGGCCTGTGAGAAAATTTTGGTGGGCTGCAGAGAAATCTCACCCCCAGAACACCCCCCCCAAAGCAATTAATCCAGGCTGCACAGAAACACAAGGCTGCACCACCCACATGGCCCGCGGGAACCCTCCCCACCCACTCACTCCTTACCCAGTAAACTTGCCTACTAAATTTCCTTTTTCTGACCATCATCTGTTCTGCTGTGCCGGGAGATTTAGATTAGCTAGGAACCAGGAAATGGTTGGATTTCTTGCTTTCTAGCTACTTTTTAGATCTTTTTAGATCTTCGGCTCAGCACAGCCAAACCTCCCGTAGGACTGAAGGTTTGCTTGCAAGCAAATTCAGTGCAGACTCACAGCAAGCAAATTTGAGAGACTGAGCTAGCCGATGGCAGATAGATAGATCACCGAATGATTCTTTGAGCAACTCAATCTGCCTGCTTTGCCTGATTTTGGGTAAAAGTTACTCTTTTTTATAAAAAATTCAATATTTACATGCATGGTGTGTTGTGAGTTAATTTTGTGAGTTTGCTTGCTAGCAAATTTTATGTATCAGACTGAGCTAGCCAATGGCAGATAGATAGATCTCTGAATGAATCTGTGATTCTGTGAGCAACTCAATCTGCCTGCTTTGCCTGCTTTTGGGTAAAAGTTGCTCTTTTTTGTAAAAAAATTCAATATTTATATAAATATTTATAATATTTACATAAAAGCCATGCCCAGTCAGTCACATGACCACCAAAGCCACACTCATAAATTAGGCCATGCTCACATTACCGGTTAGTGGTCCCTGGGATCTAAAATTATGAGTTTGGTGGTCCTTGAGGTCTAAAAGGTTGGCGACCCCTCCTATAATTGACTCCTGCACTTTCTTTTAGCAACAATACTATCAATTTGATTTCCATGTACTACATCTGGTGATATCCGTGTGTAAAGACATTATTTGTTTGGTTGGTTGTTGGCTTTGAAGAAATTATTGGAGTGGCTGAAATTGTGAAGTTAGTTTCCTGCTTCATTTTGGTTTCCTAAGCAATGCAATCCAACTGTATTTTCCACTTTCATGTTCCAACTTTAGTATTCCAGTCTTCAATCACAAGCAACACATTTTGGTTGCACGTTTGGTCAATTTAACATTGAACTTGATCATTAACCTCCCCTTTTTCTGCATCGGTGGTTAGAGCATTTGGAGCTTAAGACTCGAATGATTGTCATATTAAAGGGTTGTCCACAAGTCTAATCAATATTATTCAGCCATTGATTGCTTTGTAGACAAGTAGTCTTCTTGCTATACCCTTTCTAACTATAAAAACAACTTTGTTTCTTCTTTGTTTTTCACATCTTCAGTAATAAATAGTGTGATTTTCTGACTGAAAGTGTCTGATCTCAGTCTGTCTCAATTCACTGATGCCTAAGATATCAATCTGTAGTTGTTTCATTTTATCTTTCACTGTGTTGAGCATTCATGCTGCTTATGTTCTATGATGCTACTTGTAATTCTATCTATGCAGCTTTGGCTTTTCTTTCCCCATATTCCCCCATCAGCAACTAGACATCCTAAATACTTTAATCTAGATACATCATAAACACCATTAGTACTCTGATAGATCATTGTTTCTTTCTCAGTAACATGTCAAGTGCTATCCAACTGAGACACCCATCATCTGGCACTATATCATCAGTCATTTTATATTTTCCGTTCATACGGTTTTCTTGGTAAAATATAAGAATGGCTTACCATTGCCTTCTCCCATAAGTTAATGCTTTTACCATTGTCACTAAAGTGATCATCTGTCTCCAGAATCTTTCTTTGTTGCTGTTGCCCTGGACGGGTTTTTGTTGGGCAGCTGGAAATAAATACTCTTGGAATACACAGCCAATGTTTTTCATGCATTCCTCACATAAGCAATCCCCTTATTACGATAAGATAGTGCAACTGGACTTAGGGTAGAATTAGTGGCTACTTTGAAAAATATTCTTATGTCTGTTCAGAGTAGATATATTTTACATGTTGTACAGTATACTTCTAGACTGCCAGTATGCCAATAATAGTTATTTATTAAATCTTGGCAATTAGCTGAGATAATTTCTTGCTATTTGATTAGAGTAACTTTTAACTTTAGTTGGATTCGAATTGTCAGTGCCTAGATTTATTTTTCCTTCCAACACAGCCATGACTGATATAAAGCAAATCAGGCAGATATGGCTGTAAGTGGAGACAGAAGAAAGAACAAATGTTTGATTGAATTACTTTTTTATTCAGTAATGTTAGTTGAAACAAATAGTATTGTTGCACTTTTTTAAAAGGATAATTCTATATTCAAAATTAAGTAACAAAATGAAAATAGAGTTGACCTTTCATTATCATGATCAATAGTAACAGAGAAAATGTGCTCAGGTTATTTTGATGAATGCACTCATTTTATTTATTTAAATATACCCATATTTCATATATATTTGACCTGCTGATTAATCAAATGAAAGAGATTTAAAACAGGAGATTGGAAGAGTGAATAAAATTGTGGGCAGAATTGGAGAAAAGCAACCCAAGCAATGTATTTTCCACTTATATTAATAGTTTGATTATTTATAGACTATTATAAACTAAATTTAGTATAAGATCAACTGAATTTCAATGTATCAACATGTACACTAAAAAAAGGCAACAAAAGTTTAGAAAATGGAATTGCAATACTTGGAGACAGCAGAATAAAAGATAAACAACTGGAGAAAATACAAAATGCAAAGACCTGCAAATAGAAGTAGAATATCTGTGGCAAAAGAAAGCAAAGTTAGTACTGGTAGTAATAGATAACTTGGGTATAATCCAAAAACATCTGCAGCATTGCCCAAGACAAACCCAGTGTGTAATCTGCAGGTCCTCCGGCACTCACAATTTCTGCTCAAGGAGCAAGTGGCAGTTGTGGCCAGGACAGCCTTCACTCAATTTCAGGTTGTGTGTCACTTATATCCTTTCCTGGATTGAGAAGCTCTCTTTTCAGTCTGTCATGCCCTTGTAATCTCCTAGATGGATTACTCCAATGTGCTTTACATGGGGCTACTCTTAAAGAGTATTTGGAAACTGCAACTGGCGCAGAATCCAGCACTGCAAATGTTTTGGGTATCCATAGGATAGTGCATTTAACACCTCTGCTATGTGAGTTGCGCTGGGTGCCAGTTTGCTTTCAAGTCCAATTCAAGATGTTGGTAATCACCTATAAAACCCACTCAGGACAAGGAACTAGTATACCTGAGAAACCATCTAGTCACAATTACATCTACTTGTCCCATCGAGTCAAGCAGAAGGACATTCTATTTATCCCATCAATCAAGGAGTTCAACTGGTGGGATCTAGGAGAAGGGCCTGTTGCCCTGCCCTGTGGAACATCTTACTTCCAGAGGTGAGGTGAACCCTCACTCTTCTTTCTGTTCTTTAACAGAAGAGTATTAAGACCTTGCTTTGCCAATTAGCATGGAGGTCTTAATAAAAGCATAATGCCCTGGGGATACTCTCACTACCTTATTAACCTCCTAGTCTTTTTCACCTGATTTATCTCCACATGTAGGTTTTGACCTGTTTTTAACTCTGTTTTTAAGCAAAACTTTTATTTATTATTTACTGTATATGATTTGAGTATGCTATTGTAAACTGCTCAGTCACTAAGTTGAGATGGGTAGTATAGAAATTTAATAAATTTTAATAAAATAAAATAAATGCTAAGAGCAAATTAGAAAAATTAGCTGTAAAATCTTCAGGATGGTAACATTTAATCACCATGTTATGTTTCTGTTTCTTCCCTATTCAGTACTCATCTTCTAATTGTAGTCTTTGTTCTTCTCCTTTCCCAGGCTCAGCAGAATCTTTCAGTATGAACAGTACTGACCATGTGATTGGTGGCATTTGTGCAATATGTGGGGACCGAGCAACTGGCAAGCATTATGGTGCTTCTAGTTGTGATGGATGCAAAGGCTTCTTCCGACGCAGCATACGAAAGAGCCATGTTTACAGCTGCAGGTAAGAGCAAAATAAGTGCTAAGGACTTCTTATTTCTTTGTGTTATGTTGATATATTTCTATTCTATCTTTCCTCCAAACCCAGAGTGGAACATACGGTGAAGACAAAAGTAACATTTGAAGTGAAGGCACAGTAATACAGTTGTGTATAAAAGGTACCAGCCTCAGTCCTTGACATCCATAATTAAAATTATTTGATTTGGGAGCTCATACAAAAAGAACATAAATTCTAACTTAAAAGAGAGTTTCAGAGCCTTTTAGAAAACCTTTCTAGAGTAGTTTTGGCCTTCATCAGAGATATCTTGGAATAATTCTGGAAAGCATAGTTACATATCTGATGACAGTATTTGGAGCATACCAGATCCAAGCAACCAGAGCCACTCATAAACAATTTGATTGACTTCTCCCTATGTTACAAGGATCTTCTCAGATTACTTGCCTTCTTGTGGGAATGAAAAAGTAAGGTTTCCTGGATCTTGGGTGAGGTCAAGTTTTTGCCACTTGTGGCTGCTCATTGTTTCCAAATTAGATCATTGCTTGATGCTTCCTTCAAGCCTAGCTGGCAGGATCCCAACAAAGAATGAATGGATAGTGTTGCATAGAATATTCAAAGATAAATAAGGTAATAATATGATCTGAAGTATTGAGTCTTTGAAGGTCAAACTAGCACCTTGAACTAAGCCTCGAAATATGGTAGTTGTCAAAGAAGTTTGTCATTTTGATGTAATAAATTTTAATTTATTAATTATATTTCCTGCTTTTCCATTGCAGAGAATGCTCAAGGGCATCCCACATAAAGCACATTGCAGTAATTATCTCATGATAACCAAGCCATAAATGTCAAAGTCCAGTTTTGACAGAATAGCCATAAATGAAAAAGTAATGAAAACTGGTAAAGGCATTGCTAATACATACACATCCAAAAGAAGTATTGACTTGAAGATCACTGCAAGGTTCATTTAGCAAAACTACAACGTTGTCCAAGATACATTATATGGATTGTGTATGGTGCTTACTGAAGGATTTAAAATATGATTAAACTGGAAAAAAGATTAGTAAAGATTTCCATGGATTTGTACCATAGAGGATACATAGAATTTATCTCTTTAACTTGACACATAGATAGATATATTGAGATCCATATAGCTGGAAAGTGTCAAAAAAGTCACTTATGCACTGAAGGATCAGTCACTGATGCTTCTGGCTTTTCATCTTTGCTGCATTCTGTTTTCAATGCAAAAGTTTAATTCTGAATAGAAATTAGGAGACGAAATTTGAATTACCTTCTCTAAAAGAACTTTACAATAGAATAACTGAGTTGGAAGGGACCTTGGATGTCTTCTAGTCCAAACCCCTACTTAGGCAGGAAACCCTATACCTTTTCAGACAAATGGTTGTCTAATCTTTTTTTAAAAAACTTCCGCTGTTGGAGCATTCATAACTTCTGGAGGCAAATCGTCCCATTGATTAATTATTCTGTCTGTCAGGAAATATCTTCTTAGTTCTAGGTTGCTTCTGTCATTTTTTAGTTTCTCTCCATTGCTTCTTGTCCTACCCTGAGGTGCTTTGGAAAATAGCTTGACTCCCTCTTCTTTGTGGCAGCCCCTGAGATATGCTAATGTTAAACTCCATTCCAATTTTATTCCAATTTCCAATGTTAAACTCAATTCTATTTTATTCCCAAGAAGACTAAATGTAGATTCTGATGTTCAGAAATTACTCCTCTACCAGCTTTCATTACTTATTGTTGCCTTATTGTGAGTCCCTTGTTTTATTTTTTACTTGTCTTATCTCTGTTATTTTTCTTTTTCCTCAAGTTATTCCTAGATCTGTGCTACAAAGTACTCTCTGGCATTTTGTTTTATCTTCTTCTCATTTTTTGAGAAAATTGACTAGGATTGTTGCTGAGGTTAAAAAGTACTTTTCCCTCCACTATTACTGTTATAAATTCAGGTCTCTTTTTCAAGATGTTTTCTTATCTTGAGATTCTGGCTCAAATAATGACAATTTGTATGCATTACTGTGGAAAATGGTCTTTTGCACATATGTTGTTGGATTTCATTTATGCTGAATGAAGGATTATGTATGTACGTAGTTCTACTGGCTCAATTAAAACACAGTAGCTCATCTCTTTATGCCACTCCTTGCTCAAAATGATGCTCTAATGGCATTCTGTAGGCAAGCGCCCCCTCTCTCTCTTTCTCTCTAATCAGGATATCTTCCTATCTCTTTTATTATTTAAAGAAATTGCTTTGCTTTTCCCCATTGTTCTTACATGAGTTTATAACAGTGTTCTGGTATGAAATAATGATGTTGGGACAGGCAGCCTCAGTGTGTCTCTGGCTGGAAATGTTTCTTAATTCTGATGAGAGTTTCACTGATAGATTAATTCATTAATTTGCTTGAAATATATATTTATCAATTGCTATTAATAAAGATAGATGGATATTTTGTGATCAAAGGCAGTATCTCTTGGATCCAGCTCGGGGTACATGTAATATGGAAAGACGATGCTTTAATCTTTTGAGTGGCTATTTTATAGAAGCATCATTTTGACTACTTAGATACTAACAGCTAAAGCAGAAGCCATCATTCTGATCTAACAGAACTCATTTCTTTTGTTTTTTTGCTCCTGATCATATTCAACAGCAGGAAAGGATCAAAGGGAGACCAAAAGAGTTATCCTAAGCATTCGTGAAACCGAGAGCAGAATTTATATGCCTTGCTTTCAGTAGATGATGAATAACCTAATGGGATTTTACTTACCCATCAGAAGGAATTATTCCTGTTAGAAGAATGGCAAAGAGAAATGTTTCAAGCCTGATTAAAGAAAAAATGCTGGTGAAGGTTGAGAGTCAAAGACATTGTTTTGACAGTGCCCATTAATTGTTTCACTTGTGCTAATCAAGATCCTTCTGTACTTGTACTCTAATATATTTACCCTTGATTCTGTCCAACAGATTTAGCCGGCAATGTATTGTTGATAAGGACAAGAGAAATCAGTGCAGATACTGTCGCTTAAAAAAGTGCTTTCGTGCTGGAATGAAGAAGGAAGGTAACTAAAAAGAAAAAAAGAAATTAGCAGGAAATAAAATATATAAGAATATGTACTAGACACTGATATTTAGTTTGAAAGGAGGGATTTTTTTAAAAAAAATAGAAGTTTAAACATATCTTTTATATATTGCATTGCTATGCAATTTTTGTTACAAATGCTAAAAATTGATGTGATAATTTCAAATATACTTAAACACATGGTTCAGTGGTATCATAAGACAAAAATGCATTTCCCCAATCTTTGCAAAAATAAGTAGTAGTGTAGTGGCACCTATTGTGACTTTATAGATTAAATGCTGTATTTAGATAGAAGACTTGAATTAACAAAGTCTCAGTAAATATCCTTTTAGATGAATTTTAGTGTGGCATTTCTTTTGACCTCAGTTTTTCACATATAAATTGACAAAAGTAATGATAATTTATCAGTGATGTTATGAATTATGGCATATTAATAATATTACTCTTACTTCCTTATAAAACACGTTGGTTGTTAATACGTGCATAAATTGTACAAGATCTAAAGAATGATTGATGGAACTAGATGTGAATAGTAAAACTATCCATTGAGAATCTTGCCATCTGGGACTTCTGGTTGTGCTCCTGTTGGGTTGGAGCGGAATCCGTGATCATGCACGGTTTTACTCTGTGCTCACTCGTTGAAGGGTCCCAATTGGGCATGGAACCACACTGTAGGGTTGGTGAAGAAAGGGGGAACCACCTGGAGGGTTGAGGGGAGCCGCATCTCCCCTCCCTGGCAAGGTAAACCCCCTCTGAAAATGAGTTGCAGTGGTGGTCTAAAATGGCCACCATGAAGATGGGAAACAGTCTGGGAAACTAAGACTATGCTGAAGCGGTGAAGCTGTGAGCAGTGTGTGAACCAGGTGAAATACAGGGCCATTAAAAGGTACCCTGGAATTAAAAAACAAATAATTTTTAATGAAAGATAGTAGAAGCGGTGACCAGAAAGAGAGAGAAGAAAGTTGAAAACTTGCAAAATTGATTTTGGATTTTGAAAAGATTTAATTTGGAGGTAGAAAACTCAGAGGAAGACATATTATTATAAAAGACTTGGAAATTAAATTGGATAATTATCTGGATTTTGGCACTAATAGGTATAATTAAATGCTGGAATTGAATGTGTTAAAAAGAAGTAATAGCTAATAATTGGAATTAGTGAAATTAATAAAAGCTTTTAAAAAAAGGAAAAAGTGAAAAGAAAGGGTGGAACATGGAATGGGCCGCACCTAATGGAAAAGGAAAAATTTCAGTGACTGTTTAAAAAGTGCTTGATCTTTTTAAAATTGAAATTTGAAATGAAATAAGAGGAATTCCATTATAATAAAATAAAAACCCTGAAAAGTGAAATACTAGAATACTAGAAAAAAACAAAACAAAACAAAACAAAAAACCAGATACATGAAGAAATTGTCCTGGGATTGTTTGGGGACTTTGGGAAAAATTGGAAAAGAAATCAATAGAAGGAACCTGGAAATAAAGATTTATGGACATTGATTGTTGAAATTAAATATAAAAAATGCTGGTTGAAATAAACTACTGGATAATTGATTTGATATAAATATTAAAGAAAGAAAAAGAAGTGCACAAAATGGGAGAATTATGTGTGGAAATAAGATTGGAACTATAAAGCATGAGGAAAATGATAAAAGAAAGCTTGGAAATGTACAGTATCATACTACAAAAATTAGAAATGGCAACAGAGACTAAAGAAGAACAAAGAGAAACAGTGTCAGGGGGAAGGAGTTAAACAAAGAACAAACCAGCTCTAAAGAACAAGTGAAACAATGAACATTAAAACAGGGGGGAAAAGAATTAAAACTAAAAATTTGAGTTTGATGTGATAATTAAAGAGGGAATTGTTTGGAAAGTTAAACAAAGGAAAAGGAAACAGCAGAAGAAGGCATTACAGAGGAAAGATCAAGAGAAGGAGAGAGACAAAATAAATAATTGGCATAAGAAATGGAGGAAAATAATAAAGGAAAAAGGGAGAATTAAGGGAAAGGACCAGAAAATGTCAGGAAATACAAAGCAAACAAAAATGAAAAGAAATTTTACAGTCAGGAGGATGAGAGACAATGGGTAGAAGAAGAACAGGAAAAGGGATTCTGCAAGGTAATGTGTTGTGATATATAAGAATATAGATTTAAAAATAGAAAAGATTGGAACTGACATTTTTCTTTAAAGATAATTGTTAAACCAGATATAGATATAATTGAAATAAATATGGAAGTGGGATTTTATTATAAGAATATTAATTAATATTTAATAAAGTGATGAATAAAGTTAAAATGCATTATGAAAATTGTAATGGAAAGACTATTATTAGTTTTTAAAATTAATTGAATAGATTAATATTTTTGAAATCAGATGATTAGAATGTAATTGAGAAAAAGAACACCATGACTTTATGTATGTATGTATATATGTATGTATGTTTGTTATTCAGCTTTGTTCGGGTATTTTCCCATGTCATTATAGTTGTGCTTTTAAAGTTGTAGCAACGTTTCGGCAGAATCTCATCTGCCATCATCAGGCTTCTGTATAGCGTTTGTCTGTGAGTCAGACTTTCACAGCCATTTCTGTTTTAAATTTGGTGCTATCCTACTGCTGTGCCAGAATGGTTTTTTCTTCATCCTGATTGGTTGGGAGTCTTGGTCTGTGTTTATTGGTCTTAGAGTTTGCTGTGTTCTGCTTGATTGGAGTTTCTAATATCTTCTGTTCTGTAGCTTTTTTTTTTTTGTTTGATTGGCTGGCAACATTGTGTTTCCTGTATTGGAGGCTTTTAGTGCGGCTTGGGTCCAAGTAAACGGACAGCTATCATTTATTAGGAAGCTAGGTTTCATCTGGGTGCCTGGTTGGCATGTGTTTGAGCTGGAGGTATCAGGGGGGATCTGTTTGTGTCCAGGTGTTTGCCTGGCTAGTGGTGTGGAGATTTTTTTTTTTGTGAGTGCAGGCTTCCAAATAATTGAAAGGCTGGTGGAGTCATCTCTTCTATTCATTCTTTCAGGTCTTTTTTCAATTTCTATGACTTCTCTAATAATTCTGTAGTTGAGACACATACCCCAAAATCAAATTCACCATGGAAATGGAAACAAACAAACAACTACCATTCTTAGATGTACTAATCTACAAAAAAACAGATGGCACACTAGGACACACAATATACCAGAAGAAAACGCACACCAACGGTTACCTCAACGCCCAATCCCACCACCACCCAGCACAGATAAACTCCGTGGCCAAAACACTAATTGCCAGAACCAAATGCCTGGCAGACAAGATACACATAAAGACTGAACTATGCACCCTGACTAAAGTACTGACAGCCAACGGCTTCCACAAAAGAAAAATCACTGGCCTGATCCACTGAGCCATAATGGAGACCTAGAAGATGAACAGACCTATGGAACAGCTGTCCTGCCCTACATAAGAGGTACTACAGACAAAATCAGTAAGATACTACACAGGCATCGCATCAAGACTGTCTTCAAAACAGACAGAAAAATAGCAGCCATCCTAAGAAACCCCAAAGATAAAATTGACCTGGAAAACCAAGGCATATATGAAGTCCCCTGTGCATCATGTCCTGCCACATACATTGGACAGACCAACAGAAGAATAAGTACCCGCCTAGATGAACACAAAAATGCAGTAAAAAAGCTGGAACACACTTCCTCACTAGTCTAAAACATGAAAGCCACAGGTCATAGCATTGACTTCAATGGCACCAAAACCCTAGCCACTATAGAAAACCCCAGCTACAGAATTATCAGAGAAGCCATAGAGATACACTATACAGAAGCCTGATGATGGCAGATGAGATTCTGCCGAAAAGTTGCTACAACTTTAAAAGCACAAGTATAATGACATGGGAAAATACCCGAACAAAGCCGAATGCCATACATGTAAGTACCCGCGAAAACTTAAGAAAACAAATACACACACACACACACACACACACACACACACATACATATACATACACTGCTCAAAAAAATAAAGGGAACACAAAAATAAGACATCCTAGATCTGAATGAATGAAATATTCTTATTAAATACTTTGTTCATTACATAGTTGAATGTGCTGACAACAAAATCACAGAAAAATTATCAATGGAAATCAAATTTAGCAACCTATGGAGGTCTAGATTTGGAGTTACACTCAAAATTAAAGTGGAAAAAAATACTACAGGCTGATCCAACTTTGATGTAATGTCCTTAAAACAAGTCAAAATGAGGCTCAGTAGTGTGTGTGGCCTCCATGTGCCTGTATGACCTCCCTACAATGCCTCTCTGACCTCCCTACAATGATTCTGATGAGGTGGCGGATGGTCTCCTGAGGGATCTCCTCCCACACCTGGACTAAAGCATCCCCCAACTCCTGGACAGTCTGTGGTGCAACGTGGCATTGGTGGATGGAGCGAGACATGATGTCCCAGATGTGCTCAATTGGATTCAGGTCTGGAGAACAGGAGGGCCAGTCCATAGCATCAATGCCTTTGTCTTGCAGGAACTGCTGACACATTCCAGTCAGATGAGGTCTAGCATTGTTTTGCATTAGGAGGAACCCAGGGCTAACCGCATCAGCATATGGTCTCACAAGGGGTCTGAAGATCTCATCTCAGTACCTAATGGCAGTCAGGCTACATCTGGCGAGCACATGGAGCACATGGAGCCCCCTAAAGAAATGCCACCCCACACCATTACTGACCCACTGCCAAACCAGTCATGCTGGAGGATGTTGCAGGCAGCAGAACATTCTCCACGGAGTCTCCAGACCCTGTCACATCTGTCACATGTGCTCAGTGTGAACCTGCTTTCATCTGTGAAGAGCACAGGGTGCCAGTGGCGAATTTGCCAATCTTGGTGTTCTCTGGCAAATGCCAAATGTCCTGCACGGTGTTGGGCTGTAAGCCCAATCCCCACCTGTGGATGTCGGGCCCTCATACCACCGTCATGGAGTCTGTTTCTGATGGTTTG